GATCTTTCTGCTGTCATGAAAAGTTCTGAACAACTTCATTTCTGACAATTGTGCAATTAGAGATTGTTGTCTGCCAGAATAATTTTTCTAAAATACAGGGTGAAAGATTTTGGGGAGTCATTCTATGCTAACTTAAGCTGAGAGTGAAGTAATTGTCTGTAGGTTTTTTGTTTGTTGTATGTGTCTACTTACTTCATTCTACCACTCTATATTGAGAGACTTGAGATATCCTACCTTTAACATTTCATCTGAAATTACATCTTAGCAAATTCCTGTTTAATCAGGAATTTGTTTTATGTTTGTTGTCACCATCATTATCAGCTCATTTAATACTGTTCAACTAAACATCCAGTGGTGACCTTACTAACCTGTTTGGCCTTTCATTCCAAAAATAATTTGAGGGAATGGATAATATTTGTTGAGCATTTACCATGTGCTGGGTACTGTGCTAAGCACTTTGCAAATATTAAATCCTTTAAACCTACTTTAATTGCTTCTTCTCAGGGATCTTGAAGTCATATTCTACCTTACTATGATTTTGAAGCATTTGTTTGTGAGAAGGCAATTCATTTCATTTCCCTGAAGCTTTGAGGTCACTCCTGCTGCTGCTGTTCTACCCCTGTGGTTAGTAAGAAAGTGGATCTAAAGATGGAGACCAGGAAGCAGCTGTGCAGAATCGAGAATTACTGGTGTTCTGAGTGTTACCACGTGTTGCCTAATCTCCAACTGAGGATCCTGGAAGACCTTAGAAACAGAGAAGAATCAGAGAAACCAAATTCGTGAGTGTTACTAAACATCATTCTCAGCAATATATGCTTGATTACATTTTATTCTCAATTTATTATGTGAAATGACTGTTGCTACCTCTCTGTAGAGAAGCACAAGATAGGTCACATGGCTAATGCCTGTGAAGCTGGGGTTACAATTAGTCCTGTTAGCCTTCAAAGCTAACCCTTGTCCTACTGCCTCACAATGAAGAAGAGAGGAAAAAGAAGAGAAAAGCACAGTGTAGGAGGAAATCATGCTTTTACAAAAGCAACGTGGACATCAGAAGCTGAAACTAATGGACAGAACCTCATCCTTTGCTCAGAATGTCTGCTGTGTTAACAACCTGATAGGAAAAATTAGGTGTTGACCAGCAGACAGACAATTAAATAACATTTATACTCAGTTTATTAGATGCAATATTCCTGTTTCAGTGTGTTATTTTAGACTGTGAACCACATTCTTTCATAATGTATGCTATAAGGCATTTTAAACAGCTGATCAGACTTTTTTGCAAAATGCATTTGAGTTTTTTCTTTCTTACTTTAAGAGGTTAATCACATACACCCAAGGAATAATAAAACCCCAAAAAGCTGGTTTCTGAAAATTCTTTTGCCGTTTGCAAAAGAAATCTTTCCAGGGAGAGAGAGAGATTCTTCCTATCATTATTCAGGGTCTTTAAATCAGAGCAATGAGAAATCATTTTAATTAAGGAAAACCCCCAAGTCTTCCCCAACAGCTGGTTTGCTTGCAAGTAAGAAAGACTAAAAATGAATCAGAGAGAAAGGGTTTGCACAATTTTTAAAATAACTTGATATATTTAGAAGTGTGACTCTGTATATGTATTCTTGTGCAAATGTAGAAAACCAGAGAGCGTGTGTGAAAGAGTTCTAACTACGTTATAATTTTCAGCATCTTCATATATCAGATGAAATACGAGGCATGGTTCTAAAGTTCTACATATAATGTTCTATTATGCCTGAGTGTGAGCTCCAAATTGGCATAGCAATGCGTGAAAGAAAGGATTTAGTAATTTTAAATTCAAGAAACAAGCTGCCTTATGTGCAGAAACGATAAGGAGGTAGATGGTGGTGTGTCAGATATTTTAGGTGTATGATGCTGTGTGGTTAAATATCAATGGAAAATAATTCATTAGGGATGTGCTATTTTAGACAGGCAAATGTATGCTTTTCCTCCTCTGTAATCTGTGCTGTTATTTGGAGATTTGTCCATAGAACAACAGGTGGTACCTAATGTCAAAAGCCGAAAAGCAGTTACCATGGAAACCAGATGCAAATTTAGATCTGTGCGTCCACTCTTTACTGTGTATATAAAAAAATTTTTAATGGAAATGAAACTGAAATATGATTCACATCCATGTCTTCTGAGTCTTAAAATATCTGCCACATACTGTGAGACATTGAGTAAGTTACAACTTCTTAGGCTCAGCTTCCAATGAAAAGCTACAAAAATGATGTAATTACAGAATGTTCATGAGATTCTTTGTATTTCTTTATTTTTCTAAATTCTTTTCTCTAAGCATATGCCCAAATTTATAGTCAATCTATTTCTTGGAGTATGTAACTCTATAAGGTTATACATAGGAAAAAATAACACTTAAAATATTATATGCTTATTATACAGTTTATAAAATACAAAAAAAGAAATAGAAAAAATTCAAGTCACTTTTAGTTGTAAGACAAAGAGAAATAGCTACTAAATCTTTGTCTTTTCTTTCAGTTTTCTTTTTATATACTTATTTAATGTATTCAAGATCAACTGTATGTACATGAACTATAAATATAGTTATTTTTTTTCCTTTTTTCATTTAATGTAACATCATAAGCCAATACATTAAAGATAAGTAATGGGTATCTTTCTCATGATAGCATAATATATGGTTATAAAATAGACCAGAGACCATAAGGTACTTATCCTTTTCTATTTCTTTTTTTTTTTTTTTTGAGAAGTCAGGCATTTGATATTTTTTTGTTGTTATTGGTATCTCTAACACTACAATAGCTATTTTTGCATAAAATTTATCCATATTTTACATATATGCCTATAAATATTATAGAATAGCTGGATAAAGAGTACAAATTCTAGGTTAATAGATACTACTTATATATGTATGTAGAGAAAGAGGAGAGAAAGAGAAAGGTTTTTAGTTATAAATGACATAAACCAATTAAAGGTATGGGAAGGGAATGGGAGAAAGTTTTTAGTCCATGTAACTGAGAAGACCAAAGATAAGTTTACTTTGGTATGGTTTGACTCAGAGATTTGAATAATGTTAATTAATAACAGCTAATGTTTATCGAACACTTTTTATGTGTCAGACACTGTTTTAGTACTATATATAAATAATTCATTTAACTTTCACAGCATTCTATGAGGAAAGTACTGCTATGAGGATTCCCATTTTACAGCTCTCTATCTCTTATTTCTGCTGTCCTCCATATGACCTCATCTCCTATGAGGCTTTCTCTCTAGCTGCTCCAGACTCGTTCTCCTAGTTACAAGTCCACAGAACCAATCCTACCTCTTTTCTGATTGCTCAAGCAAAAGTTCCTGTTTGGCCCTGACTCCTGGATTGGCCTTGGTCTTTTTCTTATCATTGATCCAATTGCCAGGGCACTGTGAGGCTCTGATTGGTCAGATCTGGGATAGACTACTGTCTACATCTTGATCTGGGAATAAGTTAGCTGTACCAAAGTACATAGTCTCAGAGTGAGGATGGAATAATTCCCCCAAACTAAGAGCCAGGTAATGTTTTCTAAAGCAGAGTGAATGGAAAGCAGATGGCCAATTACACTACAGCAGCAAATTTCTCTACAATGAGGACTCAGACATTTTTGGTTGCATTTAGAGAAGGAAAGTGGAAACAAGCTATCTGGAAGAAAAACCTCAAGCAAAAGTTCCTGTTTGGCCCTGACTCCTGGATTGGCCTTGGTCTTTTTCTTATCATTGATCCAATTGCCAGGGCACTGTGAGGCTCTGATTGGTCAGATCTGGGATAGACTACTGTCTACATCTTGATCTGGGAATAAGTTAGCTGTACCAAAGTACATAGTCTCAGAGTGAGGATGGAATAATTCCCCCAAACTAAGAGCCAGGTAATGTTTTCTAAAGCAGAGTGAATGGGCAGATGGCCAACTATTACACTACAGCAGCTTATTTCTCTACAATGACTCAGACATTTTTGGTTGCATTTAGAGAAGGAAAGTGGAAACAAGCTATCTGGAAGAAAAACATCTTCCTTATTCAAGTTTCTGAGGAGTAGTGGTTATTATTTTTCACATTTATAATATAATACAGTTTTAATTTAAAAGAACTATTTAAATGCCAGCCACATCTTAGGTAAATGGGCTCATTCTTTATACAAAATACGACTTCACATATAAAAAGGAGAAAAAAAAAGAAATGTAAAGAATTCCTAGTAGATTCAGTCTTCCCAGCTTAAAGCAAATACCATTACTTTCGTAAACCTATGTGGTTATGTCCAGAAAACTATCTAGTTAAAAGTCCTTTCTCCCCAACAAAATAACAGAATGTGAGATTTCTTTTCTATGTCAGTAATTGGGATGTGATGAAGAGTGTAACCATTCTGCCTTTAGAGTAATCAGTCACAATAACAATGGCTAGAGTACCACATTATATTTACCAAGTCTGTCTGTTTATTAATCGTGATGTTCTTTGCTATGTAATGGAGATAATGCAGGGTAGGAAAGAAAAAAAATATCTGAGCTGTACATAGATTGCTATGGAAACAGCAGCTGACCAATCAATGGAGAGTAGTCAGAACATATGCCTCTGCTTCTCCGCAGTCTTGATGAATTGACGTCCTGATATTGCAGTCATTTTGGCTATGGTGCCACTTGCAGCGATAGTCTTTTTGACATCCAAATATATGATACAACACCTGTTCTAAGAAAAAGATATATAAGTCATTAGTCTTAAATGTTTCAACCTCCATGTATATACACTCAACACAGGCAGTTATTTCTCCAACCAAGATATCTCCTAAATTTTTCATACATCCTTCACTCTCAATTTTTTTATTCACCATTTCTTCACACCGTCCAGCTCACATGCCTTCCCTTCCCTTCACAATCTCAAAACAACTTAATCTAGTTGATGTATAACATTTTTCACATCAAAAAAATATATAAGCGTGATTTCATTTAAAACTCTGTTCAGTTGTGGAGTTAATAAAGAAGACCAGTTGCAAAATATATTTAGAAGAACTGTAAGAGGATTCAATCATAAAAACAATGAAAAACAATTTTATATTTCCCTACTGCATTCAGAAATTAAAAATAGACCCGTTTCTCAGGAACGCTTGACAAAAATGAATAAAGGAAGGTGTTAGAGCCTTTAGAAGCATAGCTTAAATTTAAAAACTGACTAAATTATATTTTGCAACACTCTACTCGTGAAACCTGTCCCATCGATTGCAAAAGGTGTTCTTAGATTTCTCTTAGATGGTGACTCCTTCACTTGCATAAAACTTCAGGTACTCTTGGCTTTAAATGAATCATTTGTGGGTCAAATGTTCTCTACAATATCTTCAGTAAGCAGCAAAGGATGTGTGCCATAATGATAAAGACAAAATCAGGCCCTCTGGTCTTTGCTATTGTTGTTGCATAAAAAAGATTTAAAGGACTGACTTCCGTTGAGCAGATTGAACAATAAATATGGCTGCTGACATTTAAACCTATCTGCAGATCACACAGTAAATCTGTGGGGATGATTGAACACAAGTCTTAGAACCACTTAATGTCCAACTGATTCACTGGTAGGACAATGGGCTGGTTTGATAATATTGCAATGCTCTTGTTTTCTAGGCTCACTAAAGGATTAAGCACTGTAAAAAAATAATAACTCTTTGGCATATACAATGAGACTTTAAGAAAAATTATATTCATCTCCATGACTTATTTAGGAAATACTTTAGGAGCTTGGGTTACATCAGTGAACAGAGAAAGTTTTCCTGACTTCAGAGTATGCATTCTCACAGGGGAAGGAAATAAACAGTGAAGCAAACTAATGATATGATTTGTTAGAAAGTAAATGTTCCTGTTAAGGTGGTCGATAGCCTCTTAATTACTAAAACCTTACTATTCCTGATTTTTATCTGAGCACTTGTAACTGTTGAACCTACTCCTCTTATTCTTTTATCTACATCCCATAAATGGGCACATGTTTTCTGAGTGCCTGCTACACACTGGGCAGTTTGCTGGGTGCTTGGGATCCAACAGCGTGTGGCATCTTTTACCTGCCCCCTTCTCTTCTCATAATCCTGTCTTTCCTCAAGCTGCTGGTGGCTTTCTCTCCCTCTTTAACAGGTCTATCTTTCCATCTGCTCTGTAAATACTAGGGATCTACTTCTACAGTCTTTCCCCCACAGTCCTTTCCTTTATCCACAGGCTTTTTTTGTAACTTATTGACTTCTGAGTCAGTGAGTTACAAAATTAGTCTATCTCTGCATCTTCTCACACTAATTTATTCATTCATTTATTTATTTAATAAGTATCTGGTGAGCGTTTATTATTTTCCAAGCAGTATATGAGAAGCTAAGAATTCAGGAATGCAGATGATGGGCATGGTCTCTGACCTCAGGGAGATTGCAGTCTAGTGAAGAAGACAGACAAAAAGACAAACAGGCAAGTGGAAAAAAAGCACATCAGTGGAATGGGGGAAGTGAAGAGAAGAGGATAGAGAAAGATAGCAAGTGAACAATAGAGAGGCAGGACATTAATGAGAAACAGATATGGCTTATTAACTGTTGATGATGACATGTATAGTATTCTCAACTGCATTGGTCTGAGAAGTATTTCATGATGGGCAAAGTTATTTTTACAAGCAAAATGAGAAATAGCGATTGACTGTTTTAAAAAATAATTAGAATAGGAAACCAGCAGTTAGCGTAATGGCTATGTCGCTGGACTCCCACGTAGTCGACCGCGGGTCGTGTCCCGGACCCGGTGGCTTAAAACTCACGCCGGGCGTGTGTGCGTGCGTGCCCAAGATCCTGAGAGGAGAATGGAGGAGAAGGGATTGCGGCGTGACCATCCCCCCCGGGGGGTGATTTCTCGCTTTCTGTCTCTATGTCTCTGTCTGTCTGGCGAGTGCACGCACCCTATAGTAAAAACCTCTCCA